TCGTTACTTTAATAAAGCTTTATTATGATGAGATGATCTTCCAAAATTAGCCAATCATGATAAAGCCCGCTATGCTAATGATCCTAGTCAAATACAAATGATGATATATTCAGACTAAACTTCAAAGGAATTAAAGATGTTTTAAGAGAACGTGGATTATGGGAATGTTTTAAGAGAACGTAGATTATGGGATGTTTTAAGAGAACGTAGATTATGGGATGTTTTAAGAAAAAGTGGATTATGGGATGTTTTAGAAGAACGATAACTTGACTTATCATCACTCTTTCTAATCGTTATGACGCAATCCGGACCCGGAACTACAAAAGACGATTGGGTTAAAAATATGTATTAAATTGTACAGAATGTAAGGTTAAAAATTTAATCCAAATAATATTCGAAAGATCGGAATAGATTTTAACAATCTGGTTAGATGGAATACGATATGTTAAATATTATCATAAAGCATAGTCACATATACGGTGTGAAAGGGTAAATCGTGACTTGTAATAGAATTTTCTATTTTTGGAGGGTTGGATACATATTAAATTTAACCAATCGGGTGAATATTGGCTCATTTCGTATGCTGAGGTGGCTCAGATCGAATCTAGCCAAAATTAGTTAGTATGGAGGAAGTTCAATTTATCGAATTTATTGAATTTATTGCATTTAGTCGATTTATCGTATTTAGTCGATTTATCGTATTTAGTCGATTTAGCGAATATATTCAGTGTGTATCTACTAAGTAGTGCGAAAGTATAAAAGCACTACCTTTTGCATGCAATAAAGATAGCTCTAACTCCAGGGAGTTCGAAGTTCCAAGTTAAAGAAATCAGAGTATTTAACTTGTGATTAATTCAGTTGGAGTTCGACATTGAAAAGTGTTTGATTCTACGAATTCCCCGATAATTAAAATCCGTAATAACGATTGGAATTCGTGACCAAATCCCGTGATTCTGTATAAAGAGATTCGTGACGTTATCTAGAGCTCTAATCTGACACTATTACTAAGAACCCAATTCACCCTAGTTACTCGGACCAAGTCTTTCCACGCCTCAATCGTAGCCTTACCAATATTAGGATTTGGTTGTATTAGTTGTAGTATTCTGGTTAGAGAGTTTAGTTAGTTTTAGTATTGTGTTGTAGTGCATATCGGCATTATCTAGGACCAGAGGATTATTTCGCCTTTCACAACGGTCATATAAAGTAGATCTTAAGATATTAACTGAATATTACCTTATTAAAAACTTACGTACTGTTAATAGCAGTTTTTGCCGAACGGCATGTCACAAAAACGTGATAAAACTCAGGTTATTTTGAATATATTGAACCATATAGGTCAAAATGACCGCTCTTTACTCGACACTAGTATCATCACATCAGTCATTGAGAAAAATGACAATTCATTATGCGAATGCCCTTATCGCGTACCTGATGAAAAGATTTACTTTCTTAATGAATCCGGTGCAAACTATGGTGGTTTTGCCCATGAAAACCACTCACACCCCGTGCACAAGAACTTGGAGAACTTCATGCTTCTAGCACTGCACCATTACCCTGGCGACTTCACCATGCTATTCATGAAAGAAAGTAAAGCCCGATACATCGCTCCCGAATTCAATGAACAAAATCGTAACGTTTTTGTCCAAAACTGCGTCTATGTAGCTAACATTGCGTTACAATCAAATCATGCCTACCAGATTTGACATTCGTAACGTGCCCACTGAAAACGTGTTCATACATGATGCTGGCCACTACATCAAGCCTCAACAAATGGAGTTATTCTTGGCGCATAATCCTCTCGTACAACGCGTCATCATGACTGTGATGTTTCCAATTGAGCTCTTTGATCACCCTGAGAGCTTGAGCGCTGTACCCAATTTGTACACTTTGACACACCCTCGCCCTGGTTACTTCAAGTACACCCCGGAAGATAAGGATGGTGACTCCTACATCCAAAATTACCAGGATAGCAAGTATTGGATCGAAAACTTTGCATACGATGGACCTCAACAGATCTTTTACATAACTCCACTCAACAGACTGTATGCTCAACATATGCTCCTCATTACCAAAGAACGTTACGAACAAGAGCCAGTTCGCTCATTCATGATCCCCGAACTATGTCCTATACCATCCATTTACGACCTGGATGCAGCTAAGCTTAACCCTAGATTCATTCATCGCTCTCTGTTGAGAGAGGTCGTTGATTACTGTTTCGGGAATATCAAATGCGGAGGAGACGACCTCACCGGTACAATGCGGGCTCTTAAAAAACGTTTCGACACATTGGTGAATCCCAATGTGCAACAACATATAGTGCACATTATAGATCGCTTCATACGTCACTACGACCCGGAACCAGACATGTTTCACGCCTTGCCAGACAGTATCGGCGAATGGGTTACGGGAAAAATATTTGGCAGTTTTTACAATAAATACGTCACGCCCATGAGTGACGCTCATCGCCTGTTTGTCCAAAAATACTTAGAAGTCCCACCCTACACTATCACCATTATCAACGATCAACAACACATAGAGCGTCCTCTAAGACCTATCAATTATTACAATGGTGCTCATCTCACATTACTGCCCAATTTGTTCCCAGAATTTCGCCTCAAGTTACTTGTTGACCACGCGCGTGACCTTTCTCACAGCTCCAAGCGTGCCTTTCTTGAAGAGAACGCTCCCCTGATCAATGACATATGCGGAGAACTGTTCCATCGCGCCGGTCTCGCGCGCCCTGCACTGATGGTTGATTTCGAGGTCAATATATACTATCTTCTCTTCGACGACAATGAATATACTTCTGATCTTATCGAATTTATCCCACTACCTATTCGCACTCAAAGACGCCTACGCGATCTACTCCAGCTCCCTGCGTTTCGTTCATAAAATTTATTAGACGTGTTAAAAGAAGTTAAACTATTTAATAAATTATTGTATAAGATTTCTATCCTTAATTTATATTCACATGTTTAATAAGTTTATCTCTTAAACCGTTTCTCCTGCAAATTTGCCCTGAAATTTTTTTAAAAGCATTATTTTTAAAATAAAATCTTA